GATTTATTTTAACGAAAGTTTTGTTACATAGACATAATTTTATTAACCCTTCAAAATTCGTGAATTTATTTTGCAGCATCGAGAAACCTAAGTAAAAGTATGCTAGAAAAAAATTATATTAAAGAAAATAAATGTAAGAGAAATTCTTGGTAAGTTTCTGTAGGGTTAATTAATTCTTCGAACTAAAATTATGCTATACACATTTTTATAACATATTACAATAATAATAATTGTTTTCTTTTTAAATTTAAAGCACAGTCTAATTAACGATATATCAGTTCAGTAATTTTTATTAATTAGAAAATTAGCGCTGCTTCTTTATGAGTAAAATAAAAATCTAAAGTCTTAAAAACATTTAACTACACATTCTCAAACAATATTTCTTTAGACATTAATTTACAAGATAATTCCTTAACAGAAAATTTCTTACTTGATTAACAGTCAATAAACAAATAATCTTTTGAATTTATTTCAAAAATCTATGTTACAAATTTTTTTTTATTTTGTTCATTCATAAAATTCCCGTTTAGTGTATCAAAACGATAAAGAGTTTTGGGATTTTGATTTTTGTACACTTTTTTTTATTTAATTTCATTTTTATAAATAAAACGAAACTTTGCGTAAAACTTTAAAATTGTATGGATGGACGAAACAGTAGAAAAAATACATTTGTCTTTAAATAATGGTAACTTTGTAAAAAAGAAGACAAAGCGAAATTAATTAGTATCAATCTTTTCCTAAATTCAGAAACGTTTTTAAAAAATCTCTACTACGAAGGGAAAGTCTAGATAGTGACGGATACGATTAGACATAATAAAACATTAAGAAGAAAATTGTCTTTTTATTTTTTCTATAACTTCGAAATTTTTCTAAAAATTAAAATTTCCTTCACTGCCACCTTCGGAATATTTAGTCGCGAAGCTCTTGAAATTTACAAGAAAATTCTTTAAATTTCTACTGTTTTTCAACCAGGGTTGACACAAAAAATTAATTTTATTTTTCCCTGACTTTTCGCTGATTTCCAGACTATTTCCTGACTGATTTTGACTTTTTCCCTGACCCTAAAGAATATTCTGATTCACTCTAAAAATTATTAGTTACTCAAAAAAAAATATTCTTAATACATTTATTTACAAATTTCTTCAAAAGTAAAATTATTCGAAAACATCAATAACTTCTTTTCTAAATAAATATTTAATCATTATTATTTTTCCGTAGGAAATAAAATTCTTCAAAACATTCAAATTTTAACCGTTTTAAAATTCAACAACTTATAAGAAAATTATTACAAAACATGAAGAAGGCGATCACTTCGAGTCGAAGACTCGGATTGATCGCTTTCTTCATGTTTTGTAATAATTTAAAGTACCATAGAATTTTTCAAAAAAAAGTTAATTATTCACAAAAATCCTAATAAAATCCTTCGCAACAATTCAATTATTTTGAAAACTAGTAAAATTTCTCAAAAAAAAAATCAATTATTTCTTTAAATAGTCAAATCTTTGCAAAAATTCATTATTTTCAATAAAATTTCAAGAAAGAATTCAATTTTTGAAAATTTTAATAAAATTCTTTGCAACTATTCAATTATTTTTATAAGTAATAAAATTCATCGCCGGATTTCAATTATTATTTTTAATACAATATTACAGGAATTGCTCGAAAAATGTAATCATTCTTAAAAATTAAATTTCAATTCCTCGAAAAAATCAATTATTTAAAAAAATGTTTTTTTTAATTCTTTGGATTTTTATATTATTATTAAATTATTACATTATATTTATATATTAATAATAATATATTATATTATAATATTTACAAAAATATTAGAATTTTTCACAAAAATTCAATTATTTTCAAATATTTTAATAAAATTCTTCGAATGAAATCAATTATTTTAAATACAATATAAATTAAATTTTTTTGAAATAATTTAATTATTCATTTTAGATTTTAATAAAATTTTTCCCAAGAATTCAATTATTTACATAAATAATTATTTGAAAGAATTCAATTATTAAAGATAAATAATAATATTCATCACAAAAATTCAATTATTTTTATAAATAATAAGTCGATTATTTAGTAATTCATTTTTAAATCAATTTTTATTAGAAAATTCTAGGAGAATTCAATTATTTAAATTAAAGAATAAATAATTTATTGAATAATTGAATTTTTGTTAAAATTGAATTATCATAAAGAATTTTATCAACAAATTTTCAAATAATTGGATTTTTTCGACGAATTTTAATAAAATTTTTTAAAATAATTACATTTTTCGAGGAATTTGATTAAAATATTGTATCCAAAATAATTAAAATCCTGCGATGAGTTTTATTATTTATAAAAATAATTAAAATTTTTATAAAATAATTGAATTTCTGTGAAGAATTTTATTACTTTTGAAAATAATTCAATTCTTGAAACGAATTTTATTGAAGTTTATAAAAATAACTGAATTTCTGTGAAGAATTTTATTATTTATGTAAATAATTAAATTTTTGCAATGAATTTTATCCAAGTTTATAAAAATAATTGAATTTCGGTGAAGAATTTTATTATTTATAAAAATATTTTACATTTTAAAGAGAATTTTAAAAAAAATGTTAAAAATACCTAATTAAAATTTTGCTTTGAATTTTATCCAAGTTTATAAGAATAATTGAATTCTTGAAAAGAACTTTGTTAAACTTTTTTTAAATAATTGATATTTTTCGAAAAATTTTATGAAATTTTGTATTTTAAATAATTGAATTCCTGTGAAAATTTTATTACTTATGAAAATAATTCAATTATTTCGAAGAAATTTATTAAAATTTTGTAAATAATTGAATTCTTGTGAAATTTTGCCAAGAATTTTATTAAAATTTTCAAAAATAATTATTTTTGAAAATTTAAGAAAAAAAATTTTTTTTTTTTGAATTTTAAAGAAGAATTTTATTATTTATAAAGATAATTTAAATTTTGACGAGAATTTTTGTTCAATTTTTTAACATAATTGAAATTTTGCGATGAATTTTTATAACTTTTGAAAATAATTTAATTTCTGGAATTATTTGTAACTTTTCCAAAATTTAATGTTTTTTTTTAGTATTTTTATTTAAAATTTTTCTATAAATTTAGTATTTATAAAAATTGTAAAAATTATTCATTAAGTAATTTATAAATCATAATTTTATGATAGTTCTTGAAAATTTAAGATATTTGAAAAGAAAAAATTGAAGGTTTTGTATTAAAGTTCGTGGCAATTTCATAGTTTACGAGGCAAACAAAAAAACATAAAAATTCAGTTTTCTCATGAATTCTAAAAATTCAATTTTTTCCAGTACTTTTACTAAAAATCCCTGACTTTTCCCTGACTTCCCTGACCTGTGGCAACCCTGTTAACTTTTGACGCAAAAGTTGACTGAGCATTGTATAAAATTTTAAGTAATTTAAAATAAATTGAAGAAATTTTAAACGAATTTCTTTTTACTTAATTTTAAAGTGTGAATTGCTAAACCATAATTTGTTAATAATAAAACCATTATAAACAAATAGATAACAAAAAAATGTCCCTTTTATAGAAAAATATCATTTTCTACTAATCCTTTCCAATTATTGACATGTAAATTTTTCCCTTTACTTATTATATCCTAACTATTCTTTTATACCTTTTTTGTAAATTTTTACTATAATTTTTAACAATAAATTACTTTATTATGTAATATTTTCTTAAATAAAACTATTTTTCGAAAAAATTATACCATATTTTTTTAAAAACAGTTACCTGGGGGTTTTTAGGGTTGATAAATACAAATCTAAGGTCAGTTTTCGAAAATTTAAAATGTTGGACATAAAAATTAAAAATCGGCTGAATTTGCATGAAAATAGTTATTCGGGGTTTTTTGGGGTCGCTGAATACGAATCTGCGGTTATTTTTTAGAAATTCAAAATGGCGGATCCAATATGGCGGATATAAAAAATTAAAAATCGACTGAATTTATTTTAAAACCCAAGTAACTAGTTTCAAGTAAATTCAGTCGATTTTTAATTTTTTATATCCGCCATATTGGATCCGCCATTTTGAATTTCTAAAAAATAACCGCAGATTCGTATTCAGCGACCCCAAAAAACCCCGAATAACTATTTTCATGCAAATTCAGTCGATTTTTAATTTACATATCCGCCATATTGGATCCGCCATTTTGAATTTTAAAAAATTGACCCTAGTATCAACCCGATCCCAAAACTTTTTTTAGGTGAAAACAGTTGAGGAATTTTGCCCCACATATGAAAATTGATTCCCTTTTCAAGATAGCCGGGTAAGATCTAATGTAAATTAAATTATTTAAAAAATTAAAGTTCTAACATGATTTAAAGACAAATGTATATTTTTACAGTTCACACTAGTTGTACTGATAATTCCCGACGGTAATAAATTTTTAAATAAGGTCATATATTAAAATGAAAATGTATCTAAAATGTCACCTATCATTAAATATATTAAGAAAAAGGATGCATGAAAAAGGATATTAAAAAATTGATGTCAATCAATTAAAAAACATTAAAAATTACTAGTTTTTTTATTTCAAAAAAATAACTAGAGACTGATAAGAAAAAAATAAATGAAAAAATCATTCATTATTATCAGATAAATATTTACTTTAATAAATAACTTTTATTTAAATGGATAGTTCTTGACGCTCGTAAGATTCAAGACAAAACTATGTGCACACTGACAAAGCCCCCTGGTAAAAGAGAGAAGATGAAAAAAACTCAAAAAAAAAAAAAAAATGAAGAAGGGAATGCAGAACTTTACAAGAAATTATTTTTAAGTTTCGTTTCACTCTAAAAACGACTAGATTTTATTGTTTGAGAGGTGCTTCAAAGCACCTTAAAAATATTTTGGGATCAAAGGTACAAAAGGGATGTAAAATAATTTTGACTTGCTTTGAAAATAATTGAAAGAGTTTTAAATGCTTCCACATTATTCAAAACAAGATGTTGAAATTAAATGTGGTGAAAAATGTTTTCTTTTTCAAAAATGAAAAGTTTTATAAGTCTTATCATACACTGGGTAATTTAAATGAAAATAATATTTCAAAGACTCTCAAATTTCAAGTATTTCTAATATGTTTTTTCTTACAAAAAGACCATTTTTTCATTTATACAATAATGAATTAATAATTAATAATTAATAATAGTAAATATTCAACACAAAAGAAACAATTTTTTTTTTAATCAAAAGTAAATAATTATGGAGGAATTATTTTTAAATATATACAATGATAATAATTCTTCAATGAGAGTAAATATTTTTTGTTACAGATGAAACTGTACTTTTGAGTATAATTTAAGTTTCAAACCACGAATATCCAAATTCAGTTCTCAGAACTGACCGCGTTGCCCTCATTGATAAAAAAGTTTTGGCTATAAGAAAAATAAGATTTGAAAAACTAAGCAAAAAGATTACGAATAAATATATAATGTAAAATTATGAATGAAAATTATATAAATAAAATTGTTTTTAAAAAGCGTTGCTTGTATGGAGGTTGACAAATTAATAAAAAAAGCGCATTATGTTTGTATATTGAAAAAATCTCGAAATTTTTTAAAGCGCTTAGATTACTAATTGTAAATCGCTATTATTAGAAAACAACTTCATTAATTTAGGTAACATATCACGTCTGCATTCACAATTATGTATAATGATTATTACGCTCATTAAAAGTACAATTTGTGCTACAATGAATTCTTCGAATCTAAGGGCAAACTATTTTTATGTTTTACCTTGCGACCTTGCTTCTTAGATGCCTTTCTAGAGATCTTCGTCTCTCTAGTTTCTTGTAAAACTTTGTTAACGCCTAGTCTCAGACGTACAGGAACTTTAGCCTCGAGGGGGACTTCTTCTGTAAATTAAAGTAGAACAATTAATATATTTTTTTAAAAAATATTTTCAACAACTTTTAACACATTAATGATAGAACATCCAAGGGTCTTGCCGGCAAGCCAACTTGGACTTCAGGAATCCTCATTTTTATGCGACATTATGAAATTAACCGAACTGTCATTTTCCCGAATTGCATTTATCCGAACTGTTATTTTAACGAAATGTCACTTTTGCGAATCGACATTTTTACGAATTGCCACATTTGCGAAATATCATTTTTACGAATTGTCATTTTTACGAATCGTTATTGTTCCGAAATGTCACTTTTGTGACATATAGATTTACTATAGCAATTTTCGCAAAAATGACAATTCGCAACAGTGACATTTCATAAAAATGACAATTCGAAAAAATGACAGTTCGCATAAATGACAATTCGTAAAAATTATACTTCGCAAAAGTGACAATTCGAAAAAATGACGTTTCGGAACAATAACAATTCGTAAAAATGACAATTCGTAAAAATGATATTTCGCAAATGTGGCAATTCGTAAAAATAGCGATTTGCAAAAGTGACATTTCGTTAAAACAACAGTTCGGATAAAAGTAATTCGGGAAAATGACAGTTCGGTCAAATGACATTTGGGGAATAATCATGCGCCTCTATATTTTCCATTGGAAATCGCTTCAGAAAAATTTTTAATAACAAAATATCACGTTCATAATGTGTGTTTTCAACCTTTACGGTTAAAAAACTTTATAAGTTTTTAAAAGTTAAAAAAAAATTTTAACTTCATTTTTTTTTAATTTAAAAAAAACTTAAAAAACCTTTAAAACCTTTACATCTTTAAAAAGGTTAATGTTTATGGAGGATCTTTAACATTTAACATTCATAAAACCTAAAAAGTTAACTTAAAAAAACTTAAAACTTTAAAAACTTTTTTTTTTAACTTTTTAAGTTAAAACCTTTTAACTTTTAAGCCTTTAAAACCTTTAACTGTTATAAAAACCTTTAACCTTTCATTTAGACATTATTAGAAATTTAAAATGGAGGCCAAAATATCTAAAATTTTGAATAGTCTGAAAAACAAATTGCAGACAAATTTTCTGATCAAAAATGACTAAAATTAATATAAAACTGACATATATGATAAAATTTTAGCACTATGACTAATTTAAACGGCTCTTATTTTTTTAGTTGCAATGAATGTTGAGAATAAAAATGGTTTAACATTTAACAATGTTAACAATTATTAACAATGTTATAAACAAATTAAGAATTGACAACAATTGAAGTTGAAAAATAGTGTCTTCTTCCACAGAATTTTTTACTGTTCTCTTAATAAATCTTTGAGATAAAAATTATTTACTACAATTATTTAACAACTTTATAAGCAATTATTATAAACAAATTTCAAATTAGCAACAAGTAAAAGTGTAAATATTTCGTGTTTTTTTACTATTTTTTTCCAGTGGATTAATAAATCTAGAAACTTTAATTCAATGTAATTAACAATCATTGAATATAAAATTCTTAATATTTCTCAAAAAAGTAATAAACAATTCTTGTAAACAACTTGTGTATTTACAATAACTGAAGATAAATTTAGACAATGTTAAACGACATAGATTGTGGGGTCACCTATAAGGGTAAATATCGTTGCTTGTTAAATTCGGCGTTAAGAATTAAATTAAAGTTTCAAGATTCATTAATCTTGTAAAAACAAATAGTAAAAGAAAAAACAAAATTTTTACATATTTACTTGTAACTAAGTTGAAATTTGTTTATAACAATTGTTTATAAAGTTGTTAAATAATTGTGGTAAATAATTTTTATCTCAAAGATTTATTAAGAGAACAGCAAAAAAGTTTTCAGCTTCAATTGTTGTCAATTCTTAATTTGTCTATAAAATTGTTTATAACATTGTTAAATAACAATGTTGAACAATTTTCATCCTTAACATTCATTGGAACTATAAAAATAAGAGCAATATGGAAACGAAATTATTTTTCTCAATATTTGTGTCTTTCAAAAAACAATTTGTTTATAAAAATTGTTTAAAATATTGTTAAATTGGTCATAGTGATAAAATTTTATCGTAGATGTCAGTTTTATACTAATTTTAGTAATTTGTGATGAGAAAAAGTGTCTGCAATTTGTCTTTCTGACTATTCAAAATTTTATATATTTTAGCCGCCATTTTGAATTTCGAAAAAATTAAAATTTCTAATAATGCTAATAATCTTCAGTTTCAAAGCAAAGGGCAAACAAAATTTGCCAGAATTAGTTTTCGCTATTAAAAAATTAACTACCATTGACTTTGAGGTAATGGTGCAGGAATGGGATTTTCAGGGATTGTAGACGAAAGATTAAGCTTCAATTTGGACCTAACAAGAAGTTTCTACGACCTTTCGTTTCGTCGCTAGAAGTGCTCAAACTTTGCTGAAGGGTAATTTTCATTTACGGATTTTTAATTAGCGTGAAAAAACCTATCAGAAACAGCTTCGACATTTGCCGCACCAAAATCAGTGTCGGCCTGTGTTACAATATTAAATTAATAATTTAAGTATAAGCTTTAGGTTAGTAGACACTAATATACATTAATTTGTGTTTAGGAAATATGAATTTAATGTACCTTCAGAGTCATGGAGATCACTGAGCGTTCGATGCAACACAGTTACTCGCCTCACTTCTTTTTGAGTTGCTATAAATATAAAATATTTAATGTAAGTTTTGTAATTTAAAAAAATTAATGAACACCCATTGTCGTGAACGCACAAATGTAACGAACGGTTTGGTCCCAATGTAACCCGATATGAAGCGAGGAATTGAAAAGTCAGTTTCTAAGTTTATATTTAAATCATAACATTTTTTACAAAAACTGTTTTAATAAAAAATGCACTCTAACGGCGGAACTTCGACATCATAGTTTTTCTATGAAAAAAAAACTCTTTTTGAAAAAAATTTTTATCGTCAAAGATTATCCGGGACCTATTCCAATAATCTCCTTAAATTTACTTTTAATAACATCTAAGCAGACATATTATTTATTAGATTAGATTAGATTTAGATTAGATCAATGAAAAAGTTTACTCACGTTTCTCAGTTCCTTTCAAAGCGAACCTCTGATTCACTTTTGCATTATTTTTAGCAACCCTGTAAAAGAAATTTCTTTGCATTAGAAACAATGTATAAAGTGCCTTTAAACCAGCTTTCTTCATTTTGTTTAATAGCATACATTATTTTAAATATTAACTATAATAATCTTCGTATTCATTCTTTTATTTTTTCAGTCTGTCGACACTTTGAAGATAGTTTCTGTGTACATACTTTTGTTTTTTTCTCTTTAAAAAAATATTGTTACACAAATCGAAAATATGCAGCTAAAAATTATGATTAAGAAATAGCAAATATACCCATTTTATGCATAAGTTTTATTTCTCAATAACAATATTGTTCACAAACTTATTTTATTTTGGAAAAAAAACATTACATATTCCAGTTTCTTAATATTTTGGTAGAAAATTCTCAATTTTCATAAGGAAATAATTTGCATCATTTCTATTTCTTAATTACAATAATAGTTTTAATAAAATTCAAAGTTTTCTAAAAATAAAGGAAAAAAATGTTTCTATTTCTCAATAATATAATAATAATATATAATATAATATAAAAAAAAATAAATAAAAAAAATAAAATTAAATTAATTAATAATAATTAATAATAATAAATAATTTGATTATTAAAAAATTATTATTATTATATTACAAATTTTAATTTAAAAAAATTGGACAAGTGCGAGTTGTACTCGCACTGCAATGGCGGGTTCCGCACACAAATATTAAAACAATACTTGCAACATTGATCGGTAATTGGTAGAATTAAAATAAACAATTATAAAAATATATTAAAATCATTTGATAAAAAAAAAATAACTAAAAAAATTAAAGTATTGTATATATCTAATATTGTAAACAATAATAAGCAGAGGAACAAAATTTTCAAAATTTATTATAGTTCCTCTGCTTATTATTGTTTACAATATTAGATATACAATACTTTAATTTTTTTTAGTTATTTTTTTTATCAAATGATTTTAATATATTTTTATAATTGTTTATTTTAATTCTACCAATTACCGATCAATGTTGCAAGTATTGTTTTAATATTTGTGTGCGGAACCCGCCATTGCAGTGCGAGTACAACTCGCACTTGTCCAATTTTTTTTATTTTTAGTTAAGAAATTAAATTCAGATAACAATCTCTCATTTATTTTCTTAAAATTTCACTCTCTTCCTTAAAATATTTAATGCCACGTGTTTAAACTAAAAAAAATTAAAAAAAATTTTTTTTTTTTGAAAAAAAAAATTAAAAAAAAATTTTTTTTAAAAAAAGTTTCTTAAATAAATTTTTTGTCGTCAGACTGTAATAATACACTAGGATACCAATTTTCAGCTCATTAGGTCAAATAATGTAAAAGTTAGGGAAAAAAAATTTTTTTTTTTAAATTTTTTAGTTTTTCCTTGACAACGCTATGGCCATCATTACATATCAAGTTCTCTATATTTTTCCTGTAATATTCGAGTACAAATACACCAGCATGCAAAATTTCAGCTCTCCATGTCGAATAGTTTAGAAGTTAAGGGGGGGGGAATGGTCACTTTTTCTGCATTTTTGGCCAAAAATATTGTTATTTCCTTGACAACGCTATGACCATCACGTCCAATCACATTCGCTATATTTTTCCTGTAATCTACGTGTGAAAATACATATCTGTACCAAATTTGAGCTCTTTAGGTCAAATAGTTTAGCCGCTAGGGGGGGGACACGATTTGGCTACGGACAACAGAGTCTCACCAATAGGGTTCCGCCGATACACCGTAGGTGTACGGAACCCTAATGATAATGAAAATTTTTGAATTTTTAGAAAATAAAGAAAAAAATTTTACTCAAAAAAATGTTCTGTTATTATTACATTTATTTACGAATTTATTCAATTGTAAAATTATTCGAAGACATTAATAACTTCTTTTTCGAATAAATATTTAAGTATTATTATTTTTCCATTGAAATTAAAATTTTTAAAAATTTCAAATTCTAATCTTTTGAAATTTAATAACTTATAAGAATATTATTATAAACATGAAGAAGTCAATAGCTCCGAGTCTTCGACTCGGAGTAATCGATTTCTTCTTGTTTTTATAATAAATTAACAATAACCAAGGGATAAAATTATTATTTTATATAAGAATATTGTACTTGTTCAAAATTATTTTCATCATTTCAATTCAATTATTATTTTCTAGAATATTTAACTACAATTCTTCTTTAAATCAATTATTATTTAAAAGAACGAAAAATTTAGATTTTGAGTAAGAATTTTTGAAACGTGCCACCTAAAATTCAAAAAATTTATTTTTGGCCAAAATGTTGTTTTTTCTATAGTGCTTTACATAAAAAAACACTATGTCAAAGGATTTGCCAAAAAAAAAATTTTTGTTATTGTTATAAACAATTAAAGTTTTCAGACACTTTTTTTTAAAAAATTAATTAAAAAGAAACTTGTTAACCGATTTTAATGATTCAAGAGGCATTCTTTTTTATTTGAGTCAAAGTTTTGAATAAAATTTTTTTCGTAAAAAAATATTGAAATTTAATAAATAAACAAATTATTTATTTATAACAAATTAGCAAAAAACCATGTTCTCAATCGAATTTCAAAATGAAAAAAATAGTACTTATTCTCTGATTACCACTGAGTAATATTCCGTTGAGAAAAAAAATGGCACGGCTTGGACAACTGACTTATTTAAACATTGTTTATCCTGAGCAGAACGGGATTTGTATGTGACGTCACGCGCAGCGGTCCTTTGACGCGGGAATCTAAGAGAATATCAGAGGAATATCAAAAATAATATTAAAATAATGTTTAAGTATTTCTTATGGACGAAAAAAACTATAACAATTTAATTAATTGTTTAAACAATTAATTTTTGTTATTTTTTCATAAACAGTTTTTTAGGGCTAGAAATTTCTAGTCTTCTCTCAATTTCTCAATTTTTCAATGAGTAAAACATCTACTAATGGAGTCATTCCATTATATTTCGACTAAAGTCGTTGCTGACTAATTTTAAAAAATTATAATATTTTGCAGGAATGATGTTAAAGATATTAGGATCACCGAACAAAAAGAATTTTTTAAATATTTTTTATATTTATTGTAAAATAAGCATCTAAAGTATATGAAGTCGTAAAAACTGTCACATTTTCATCTATTAGAAAATATTAAAGAAAACACATAATTTACTATAAAAATGTAAAAAAGTTATAAGAATTTATTAAGAAAGAATTGTTTTATTATTATAAATTGATAGAAACAATTATTAATAAGAAATATTAAATAAAAAAGGATTTTAAAGTTCACCTGCCAAATAACCTAATTTTGCAAATTTCATTCACTAAATGTGAGAAAGAGAAATCATTAAATTGAATAAAACCTTATGAAATATAAAGAACCTGTGATTAACTTTTAGTTTTTCTTATCACTTTCTTCCTTTTTTCTTCATAAATGTTAAAAAATAAGCAATTAAAACTGGCACTTTGCTTATTTTCACGATTTTAAAATGCAAATAACTTCTGCCCAGAAAAATGAAAAATTACGAAAATTGGGCAATAATTATTTGATCACTAGATACACTCACTGGAAAAAGATTTTCTTTGGTCCCGAAGCTATTTTCCGAATTTATTAACTTTAAACTTTTTACTATTTTTATCAGGTTAATACATGTGTTTTTTAAAGGACGAAGTTAGCTCTTCTTGTTTAATCGTTTTGAACCAACTTCAGTTTTAAAAAAATCACATGTATTAACCTGATAGAAATAGTGAAAAGTTTAAAATTAATTATTTCGGAAAATAGCTTCGGGACCAAAGAAAATCTTTTTCCAGTGAGTGTATCTAGTGATCAAATAATTATTGCCCAATTTTCGTAATTTTTCATTTTTCTGGGCAGAAGTTATTTGCATTTTAAAATCGTGAAAATAAGCAAAGTGCCAGTTTTAATTGCTTATTTTTTAACATTTATGAAGAAAAAAGGAAGAAAGTGATAAGAAAAACTAAAAGTTAATCACAGGTTCTTTATATTTCATAAGGTTTTATTCAATTTAATGATTTCTCTTTCTCACATTTAGTGAATGAAATTTGCAAAATTAGGTTATTTGGCAGGTGAACTTTAAAATCCTTTTTTATTTAATATTTCTTATTAATAATTGTTTCTATCAATTTATAATAATAAAACAATTCATTCTTAATAAATTCTTATAACTTTTTTACATTTTTATAGTAAATTATGTGTTTTCTTTAATATTTTCTAATAGATGAAAATGTGACAGTTTTTACGACTTCATATACTTTAGATGCTTATTTTACAATAAATATAAAAAATATTTAAAAAATTCTTTTTGTTCGGTGATCCTAATATCTTTAACATCATTCCTGCAAAATATTATAATTTTTTAAAATTAGTCAGCAACGACTTTAGTCGAAATATAATGGAATGACTCAATGGTAAAATATAAATTAATTAAACATTGTTTAAACAATAATTAATTGTTGTTATTTTTTTCATAAACGGTACTTAGGGCTAGAAATTTAAAGTTTTTTCTCAATTATGCAATTTTTCAGGCGTAAACATATATTAATAATTAAAACTAAAAATTACTTATTTATTAAATTGTTGAAACAATTAATTGTTGTTATTTTTTTCATAACTGCAATTAGAGTTAGAAATTACTTGTTCTTTTTCTATATTATGCATTTTTTGTAACGAAAACACTTAAGTATAACAAAACTAAAAATTATCTAATTATTTAAACATTATTTAAACAATTTATTTTGTTAATTTTTCAATTAACTGTACTTAACTAGAAATTCCTTAGTTTTTCTAAATTTTAAATTTTTTTTTATAATTTAAACACTTAATTATAATAGTAAAACTAAAAGAATGTTATTTAACCATTGATAAACAATTAATAATTTTTCAATTGATTATACATTTAGGGCATTTATAATTTTTCAATTGATTACAAATTTAGAGCATTTATAATTTTTCAATTGATTATAAATTTAGGGCATCTATAATTTATAATCAATTATAAATT